ATGGTATATACATGAAGGTTTCTTTGTTTGGATTATTTTGCTCGACGTACTACGTCTCGTGTTGTAGGTTTTTAAATGTTAATCCCACTTAGATATGGGAAAAATGAATCTAGGTAGACTATGCTTAATAGATAGAGCCTTCACTCCATCTAGCAGTCTTTTCCCTGGGGACGAATGGAGGTAATCCTACTGTAGCACTCTGACGTTCTTATTGTTGTTCTTTTTCTTTTAAATTACTTTTCAGGTAGTTCGGAGTTTCGGAGAGTCGCAGGGTGACGGAGTTCTGGCATAGTCGCCGTCGCGTATTTTTACTTGTAGAGACTCCACTGTAGTTTTGAGTTTTATCCAAACATTAGAGTTTTATTTTCATATTGTAAAGACAGTATGCCTTAGTACGATATTTAGTTGATTCATGTTGAGATATTTTCACTATTCAGATATCAGATGTATTATAGTTGAGACATGATTCTTTTTATTTATGAGATATCTCTTCTATATCATGTCTATTATATTTATTCCCTTTATTTTGCATATTTTGTACATGTACTTCTATTTGGTTCCACCAGAGAATATTACTGTGAATGGTGAAACATGTTTATGCACAGTGTGGGTGCATGGCAGGTTTAACATCTCTGGTTTCACATTGGACTGTAACCTTGTGTGAACCCAGGGGCGTCACACCCAGGCTATCTTAACTCTCCTCCTTGGGAACTATAAAATACATTGAATGCAGTAGCAGTAAATATATCTCTCGCTAACCCTGACAACCAAGTGTAAGAACATAACAGTAAACTTAACATTCAAGCGATAAACTTAACAACCAAATATTAACCTTAACAGCCAAGCCATGACCTTAACACTTGTAACGATATACTTGATAACAAATCCATACACATGACAATAAAATGCTAAACCATATAGACTTGTTACAAGTTGCACGATTGTAACCCTCCACGTTGCATCGAGAGCACTTAACAGGACGGGTATTCAGCGTCCAGTTGTTTATTCGTCTAGTGCATGGTCTTCCATGCCTTTTTTGGTGAGAGGAGGCTTTAACAATCGATCTTTTGGCGGTACAAAGTGTTTTTTATAATCTGGGATGGGAAAGATGGTCGGTATATAACTTGCTCTGAATGCGTCAACAGTCATATACCAATCACAATATTGATAAATTTCTTGTCTCATCCATGTAATTGCAGTGCACGCGTGTTTGCAAGGAATGCAGGTGATGTCCTAGGACCTGCATGAACATGCCCGATTCTTCAAATCTACACGGAAAGTTTTATTGGACTCGACCTTCACAATATCTTTCGTCGAATGTTTAATGACCAAGCAACTACCATGCTGAATATTTTCGTACAGCACTATCTCCGCTTCCGGGCATAAGTATCCAGACCATTGCTGACCCATTAGCCTCCTTTCATGCATGCGTTCCATTATTTGCTTCTGTATGGTCTCAACCAAAGGTGAGATTCGTAACAACCGTGCCTTTCTTATCCAGCTATTGAAAGACTCAGCAACGTTTGAAGTAACATGGTCATACATTAACAACAAAACCCTAACATTAACAATAAATCCATAAGCTAAACAATAAATCCCTAACCTTAACAACAAAATTCTAACCTTTCATGCATGCGTTCCATTATTTGCTTCTGTATGGTCTCAACCAAAGGTGAGATTCGCAACAACCATGCCTTTCTTATCCGGCTAATGAAAGACTTAACAACGTTTAAAGTAACATGGTCATACATTAACAACAAAACCCTAACATTAACAATAAATCCATAACCTAAACAATAAATCCCTAACCTTAACAACAAAATTCTAAACTTAACAACAAAACCCTAGCAGAAAAATTCTAACAATAATAATAAAACTCTAATCTTAACAGAAAAACTGTAGACTAACTCTAACCTAAACAACTATAATGGTGTTGTAACAAAATAACGTTTAAACCAAGCTATCTTACCTTATACCAGGAAAATACGCATTTGCCCATCTTTCTGGGGAGTATTCCATTGTAGTGATGTAAGCCCTGTGATCGACCATTACCAATTCTTTTATGTCATCATCCCATTCAGAAATTATGTACCTATAAGCCGTAGATTATAACAGCTCACCCAACGTAGTGGCGACATTTGCCTTGTGCCCAAAATCCTTCATCTTCTTTCTGAAATTCTCGACTAGATGCAGAACACACCTTGAATGGAAAGTATCTGGAAAGAATTCCTCGACTGCTATCCTAATACCCTTGTCGGCATCGAAAATCATCACCAGCCGATGTGGAGGTTGGTAAGGATTTTTCCTATCATACAGTAACGTCCACAATCCTTATAAGAACCATTTCTAGTTAGCCTCATTCTCCTGATCGCATACGCAATAAGCAAGGGGAAATATTCTCTGGTTGCCGTCATACCCAGTGGCACTAAGTAGTATGCCTTTGTAACGATCTTTAATAAATGTTTCATCCAAAAATAATAGAGGCCTACACCCAGCAATGAACCTTTCAATTACAGGCATTATAACTAATGAACAATCGCATGAACCTCCCGTCATCAGCATCAATAACAACACAATGCCATGGATTAGTTGCATGCACCATGGATTGATACCTGCATGAATATAACAACAAAGCAGTAACCTTAGCAACGGATTCATAACCATAACAATTGATCTTCAACCTGAACAACCAACACGTATACTTAACAACGAACCAATAACTTTAACAACTAATACATATAGTTAGCAACCAATATGTAAAAGTGATTTCAGAAGAATAAAAAAGAATGTACTATCTCAGTGAATCGTAAGCCTCATCATCGTCACCGAACAGGTCCTGTTAAGAATAAAAAAGAATGTACTATCTCAGTGAATCGTAAGCCTCATCATCGTCACCGAACAGGTCCTGTTGAGCTGTCTCCTTGCACCACCACGTTTTACTGTAGTTAATCTTGATGCCAAAATTAGAGAGCATGTCGTTCTAGATATCAACTGCACGAAGATCTGGCCTAACGTTCAAAATAGCTTGTATTTGGCCAGTAATGAACTTCCTTGATGCCCTTGAGTTGCCAGTATTTGCTCCATGTTAACCACAGGTGTGGGTAGATTCGAAATTCTTTATGGACATAATGATCGTCGAATTTCTAAGCGAGGAAGCAAACAACATCCAAGGACAACCATGTGTGTGCTTGAATCAGCAATAAACTCTTATGCGCCTTTGTTCATTGTGGTAAAAATCATACTCGAACCGTTTAGCAATTGAATAGTATTAAAATGTTAATCTAACTTCAGCATCACTATCAAATTTCTGACTAACTTCACGTATGGCGGTCAGCCACTCAGTTGGGATCTTTGTTTGGTGGTTAATCATGTCTTCCAGCAACATGATCGAGTCGCCAGTGAGGTTGTCATTAGGAATAGCTCTTCATTACAGGTATGGGTGAACGTGGTATCTGCTCATCGCGAATTTTCTATCGGAATGGTCTTGAAGAAGCAAAAAATTACATAGCCTCAGCAACGAACTCCTAACCTTAACAGCCAACTCATAAACTTAACAGCCAATAGCGAACACCTAACCATAGCAACCAACTAGTATATGTAACAGCGAACTCATAACCTTAGAAAAAAAATCTTAAACCTATTTCATGAAATAAGCTAAAGAACCCAAACCTTAACAACCAGTCCTTAACCTAACCTTGATAACCAACTCATAACCTCAGCAACCAATGCATAATGTTAACAACTAGTGGCAAAACCTATCAGTGAACTCATAAGGAAATCTGAAGTGTAATGCCTACGCATTTTCTGGCATAGTCTGCGTGTTCTGCGAAGTTGAGGATTCCTCAGCGGAGGTAGCATACAAATTCACGTCTATAAAACGATTACGACGACAATACTCGAACATCAAATTTACGTCATCGTCATTGTCAATTGAAATATTGATTTCTTTTCCCTTTCGCACATGAACTTCAGTGAAAGAGATTACATTGGTATTTTAAGCCTTTCTGACATTTGATATTTTAAGCTGATTATTTCTGTATTCTCTTTGATAACAACGAATACACCGTCACCATCTTTGTTGCTTTTTGCCTTCGTTACCACGCAAAGAAGAGATACATCCGTCATTTTATTACAGGGATTGAAGAATTGAAGAGGATTTTACCGCGGAGAATTAAGTGGAAGGAACATAGTAGTTGAGGTAATAGAATAAGGAGGAACTCATCAATTTTATTACAGCGGGAAGGGGAATAGATATGATGAAAAATTGGAGGAAAATGTGCCCCCCCCCCCCAAAAAAAAAACATTCTAATCACCAATTAATGCTACAGTATCAACGTCATATTCCCGACGTGAGAGGGCGACGGTTACAGACTATCTAGGGGTATTTTGAACATTTCGTGAGGGGTTTAAACAACGTTTCGCCTGGGGATTCGTTTTGAGAGCTGGAAGAAAATCGTGACGAATTTTAGGGGCAAAACACCCGTTGAAAAAGTCTTTGAGCGGGGGGCACGTTTTCTTTGGTTTTAGGGCTAGAAGCATTTTTCCCTAAAAAGTAAGGATCTCTCCCTTATTTTTTGATAATGGAGAACAGACCCCGCTACCAAACAATAGTGGATATATTACCTTTTTTTTTAATCATATCTATTAACTTGACCAGTAAAAAATAAACATTCATTCAATATTTAACACTCATTTATTATTAAAAATAAATTTCCACTACTTTTTTATTTTGGATAATATTAGAAGGGAAATTCCCTAAGGACTCAAACTCATGGGACAAGGGAGGGGACAGGGGAGGTGTCCCCTCCCCATTCCTCCATGCACTGTTCATCCTCCCCATTCCTCCCTATACTGTTTATAAACAGTGCATGGAGCAATGAGGAGAGAACACCTCACCTGTCCCTTTCGTTGTCTCATGCGTTTGGGTCCTTGTAGCATTACTCATGTTAGAATCAATGGAACGGATCGAAAAAAAACCTCTATGAAGTTGCAACCTGCCATAGTTTTCATAAGCTTCGAATTGATACAAGAAAAAGTAAATTTCAAGTACACATTTGAGATGACAATAGGAGCCACCAAATCATAACGTCAGCATTTGATTATCCTTATTTTTTTCCCTTGGCTAAAAAATAAGAAAGAAAAGATGAGGGGCCCATGATAAGTCAGCATTCAACAACCCTTGTCAGGAAGAGGGGAGAAAAGAGGGGGAAAATTGAGAACATGCTAGTTGGAAAATAAAATTAATCACTTGATTAGGACCCAAAATTAAGCATTATTCACGTGCCAAATTAGCTGCTTCCGGGAAACAGAAATATGGAATTAATTTTTTTTTCTATCGGCAAGTTTCCATCAAAGCTCTTTCCAGCTCATTTGACCCAACCTACATCATTCACATAACAAAAGAGATTAATTAAATTAATCAAAAACATTAAAAAAGGCAATGTTGCATAAAGACCCACTCACTATTTAAATTACATATTTCTTCTTTTTCTAGTTTACAATTTAGGGGTAATTTGACCTCTAAAGCAATTGTATATGAGATTCTAGATCAATTAGAAAATTAACAACCAACTAAACGGTAAACTAAGGAATCATTTTGGAACAAAATTTCAAATTAAACCCATTTAATATTTTTATTAACAAATTCGACCTACTCCCATTTTATTTCTCAAAACCGACTCATTTTGTGGCCACGTCAGCAGTGTGGCCACGAAATGGGTCGGTTTTTTTAATGACGTCTCTAAATAGTCGGGGTTGTCAACCCCGACTATTTAGCTATTTCGGGTTTGACAACTCCGATTATTTAGCTATCTACAAGCTAAAATAGTCGGGGTTTCCAAACCCGACTAATTTAGGGCCATGTCTAATATGTTGGGGTTGCCAACCACGACCATTTAGCAAAGACTATCCACCCAACCCAGCCGACGAGTCGAAATTGGCTAAGGAAAATAGTTAGGGTTCCCAAACCCGACTATTTTATTCTGGGTCCTGTCGCCTATATAAACCCCCCAGGTCGTTCTCAGCCCTTATTCCACGATCTTAGTCGCCTCTCAGCGAGTTCCCAGTCGCTTCTCTCCGTCATTGTCGTCTCCCAAGCCAAAACTTACGCATTTCAACGCCATTCTTGTGCGGAATTTCATCGTGAAAGATCTAACAGGTACTTTCTCTCCTTCTCTCCTCTTTTAACATGTAGAAATCTAGGGTTTTCTCTCCAAAACGAATTTATAGTGTTTAAACTCTATTTGTAGTGGTTTATTTAGAAAATTTATTCTTGTTATAGTTGAAATTAAACATTTGGGGCATAGAATACTCAATTTTAGGGTTTAGGATTTGGGGATCAATTTTAGGGTTTGGGATTTGGGGGTTTACGGTTGTAATTGGGTTTTAAGGTTGTAATTGATAATATTTTTTTAAATTTTTTGCATTTAAATGATATAATTTTGTTTTGCATAGGTTGAACAATATGATTTTTATTGCTTGCTCTAATGGTGGAACGATTAATTATGGAATGAATAATATGCCAATGTACGTCGGAGGAGTGACAATCCCGTTAATGATATCGGAATCATATAATTACCTTGACTTGGTTAATGAATTGCATCGAGTTACGACAATTGACCCACGAGAGTATCGACTAAAAATAATATGTAATTGGCCGATATCTTATGCTAGAACGTCCGCAGTTGAGATCGCAAACGATCATTCGATAAGTATTTTGTTTAATTTGAGCAAGTCACAACCAACGGTAGAATTATTTATTAAAACGATGCCACATAGGACGGGCCAAACCCTCCAGGAGAATTCTCACGCATGTTAGATTTGGGAGTTGAGTCTAAAGGCTTCCTTTCTTCTTCGAGTGAAATGCAGCGGACTCAATTTCAATATCACAGTGGTGCACCTTCATAAGGCTTCCTTTCTTCTTCGAGTGAAATGCAGCGGACTCAATTTCAATATCACAGTGGTGCACCTTCATATGAAGAGGATGAAAGAAGTGACACATCTGATGGTGAAGATGAAGATAGTGCACCAATTGACAACATGCAATTTGTATTCAAAATTTGAACTTTTATTTTACTTCATTATATTCTACTTCATTTATATCATCATATGTGTAGATATAGAGGCGGGACCATTGACGTATGAGGTCCTTTATGACCAACCTCGACATCGATTCGCGAAGATTGACAGTGGAGATGTAATTAGATTGATAGTTATAAATTACATTTTTGATCATATCAATTATTCTAAGTTATTGATTGTTACTGAACATTTGTATTGTTTATTATATGCAAGCCCCGAGCATTACTATCGTTGATCATACTCGTGCACATTTGAGCTGGGAGTTGACCGATCCACATGTCCAATATTATGTCCGTCAAACATGCTTCTTTGAGTGCTCACAAATTAAACAGGTGAGACTTGATTGGGCTATCTTGACAGCACTGGTTGAACGATGGAGGCCCGAGACAAATACGTTCCACCTGCGCCAAGGAGAGTCGATGATTATATTGCAGGATGTTAGGTTTTGCTTGGACTTAGAGTGGATGGAGATGCTGTCACAGGTAGGGACGACTTCGACTGGTCAGGGAAGTGTGAAGCATTGCTAAGTCAAGTTCCTCACATGAGGGGTGGAAGGATCAAGCTTGAATGGTTGAGAAACAATTACATGAATGTTCCGATCGATGCGACCGAGGAGATCGTCAAGATGTATGTCCGTGCATACATACTTCACATGATCGGTATTATTCTTTTCGGATTCCACGAATGATTCGGTGCACATGAGGTGGTTGCCACTCCTGGAGGATCTTGTGGATTGTGGTGGATTGTCATGGGGGAGTGCCGTGTTAGCGTATCTGTATAGGGAGATGACCAAAGTGGCTCTTGTTCAAAACAAAGAATTTAAGGGTTGTCTTACTCTGCTACAGATATGATATTGGGAGAGATTGCATTTGGGTTGCCCAGATTTGAGGGAGGCACGTGCTCTTGATGGCCATATTCCGTTAGGCTGCAGGTATTACTAAGTTATTTAAAAAAATATCATTACATGTAATTTTATACATTTATTTCAATTTATACTAACTCATTGTATATAAAATAGATGGAATGTATCCAGATCTTGGCATACCTCACCAAAGGGCCATGAAAACTTCTATAAGAACGATCTCGATCAAATGGAGGACGAACATGTATTAAATCATAATATCTAAAAAAAATTAATCATTACATCATTTATTACTAAAATCTGCTTTGCTTTATCTTTTTATAGGTCAAGTGGATGCCATATGAACTAGTTTTAGAGTCACTACCGGATATATGCAGAGAAGAGCCGGATGAATGGCGTGCTCGCGCTCCGATCATATGTTTTGAGATTATCGAGATGCACGTACCCGATCGTGTGCTCCGACAATTTGGGCTACGACAACATATCCCGGACCCTGTAGAGATAATAGAGAGAAATCCCAGAAAAGATGCACATCGTCAAGATTGGGAACATATTCACCAAGCTTACATCGGGAGGTGTTATTGGAGGGAAGAATAGTTGGTGATGGAGAGGGCTGACGCACCTGACCTAGGTGTGTATTTGCGGTGGTATTGGGGGATTACTCGCCGATGGATATTTCAGGAGAACAAAGCTCCTAAGAAGTACATACCAAGAGGTCTAGTTGAGAGAGAGTTGGTAAGTGTATAAACAAAATATAAAGTTATCTTGTGAGTTTTATTTTATTATCATCCAAATCATAATATTTTTCTTGGGGTTTTTATCTTATAGGTACAAGAGCTCGAAGAACTTTCTACTATGGCACATGATACAATCCGAACGACTACCGAGCCAGGGCCGAGGAACACGTTCATTCGCATGATCAAAAAGATTCGGTCCGCTCTTCAGAGGACGCGTAATGTAAGACGTGATGACCGTGAGGAGTGACCAATTGAGTACGGTCGTCGACGGTTCCGAGGACACACGGGGGCAGGCTCAAGCGGTACACATGATAAAGCTAGCGGCTCACAGCAGGCCCACGCCGGATGTTCACAGTCGGTTCGAGTCGATGAGGATGTCATGCACTCCCAACTTCACACACAACCAGACGAGGAACTCATCCGAGCTCACGTTGAAGGTGAACATGTCAGGGGAAGAGGGAGAGGGAGAGGGGGAGGGAGAGGGAGAGGAAAGGGAGTTGTATCCGATTGAAACTGAATATTATGTATCTGATTGAGTATTGATGGGATGTTTGCTTTTGAAACTAAATATTATGTATTCGATTGAGTATTGATTGTTAGTATGTGAATTGCATGATATGTATCCGAATGATTATGGATTTTTATTTGAGATTACTGATTGATATGTGTGTTATTGTGATTGTGATTGCATTGTGGATTGATATGTAACAGCAGGAGTTTGAATTTCTAGCTCAAAGTGTGTGTAGTAGAGTCTGCTAAATGGTCAGGGTTGGGAACCTCGACGATTTTGTGCACATACACGAAACGGTCGGGGTTTCCAAACCCGACCATTTTGGCGTAGGAAAACTCCCTTATGCTAAATGGTCGGGGTTCCCAACCCCGACCGTTTTCAGCTCCTTCGGTGACTGAGCCAGAGCTCTCTGTCATATGGTCGAATTTGGGAAATGGGCTTTCGAAATAGTCAGGGTTACCAACCCTGACCAATTAGACAGGGCACTAAAACTGTCGGGGTTGGAAACCCCGACTGATTTAGCTTGTACATAACTAAATAGTCGGAGTTGGCAACCCTGACTATTTAGAGGCGTCATTAAAAAAACCGACTCATTTCGTGGCCACGCTGCTGATGTGGCCACGAAATGCGTCGGTTTTGAGAAATAAAATGAGTGGGTCGAATTTGTTAATAAAAACATTAAATGCGTTTAATTTGAAAATTTATTCAATCATTTTGTGGTTATTGGAGCTCTAGTACACCTATCACGTTACAAAAAGCAAGTCCCTTAAATGGCCATTCACCTTTATTATCATCATTTTATATTTGCATATCTGCCCCCATATCTTTGCAATTAGGTGAAAAAGGTAAATACATGTTAAAAGACAAAAAGCAGGAAGTGCGTGGGTGGGTTGGGGGTGGGGGTAGCCCTAGAATTTGTAAATTTATGAACATGATTAGGGATTCAAATATATATCACTGAATTCTGAAAAAAATATTTAATCTTCAATTAGAATCCAATGTATATAACTGTTTGAAATCTTATGCATTTGAATCCATATCAAATATTTAGAATTTAGTTTTCATGGCTAACCTTGCTCTCAATGTTGATGATGGCCATCAACTCATTGCCAGAAAACTCGGTTTGAATAGCTCTAGCCTTAGCATCCATGGACTTCAAGCATTGAAGAGCACCAATCATGGAATCAAGGGTAGACGCTGGATCCAGTCTAATCTTGATCTTTTCCCCTCCTAAACTTGAATTTTCCACACTTTTGATCCTGAGCTCCTCATTGCGCTTTAATAGCTCCTCCTTCACTCCTTTGAGCTCTTTAACATAAAGAGCTGCCGACTGTACTATCGAGTTCTTATCACCCTATTGATAAATAGAAAAAGAATCAAGTAAGGAGAGGGGGAAAAAAAGAATTCAAAAGTGCAGTTGATTTCTTTGATAAATAGAAAAAGAATCAAGTAAGGAGAGGGGGAAAAAAAGAATTCAAAAGTGCAGTTGATTTCTTTGAAGTCACAGTACGAAGAAATACCTTTGATCTATAGGGAAGCATGGAATGCAAATCAGCATAGCTCTGGCTCAACCTCTCTCTCCTCTGCCTCTCTCTCATCATATGTCGAAACCCTGGGCTATACTCACCAGTCCTAGCTTCCAGTCGATCTCTTGGAATTCTTCGTAAGAGATCAATCATTCTAAGATGAATGTTCTTTTTCTTATTTGCCTGTGAGCTCAAGAAGTCTGACGAATCATGAAACTCCGGTCTGGTGTAGCTCACAAATGCGCTACGAGGCACAGCAGACGGTTGCTCTGACAGAGGAGAAAGAATGCCGGAGTACTCTGACAGAGGAGAAAGAACGTCGGAGCTGGCACCGATGAAATCCAAGAGCTCCGGTGAGAAGTCCCACGGGCACATCTCTTGTTGAGGAGGGGAGGAGGAAGGAGAGAAGAGGTCCATTTTTGGTAGCGATCGGTTTATGATTATTAGGATTCTGATGCCTTTGCTAATATATAATTTAGGACAAAAGGACTAGATTTTAGACAGTGGGACTGCCCGCTTGTTTTTGAAGCACGTGGTCAATGTGGAGAATTGGGGGTTAGATTTTGGAATCGGTCAAGCGTGGCGTTAACACAAAACAACACGTTTTAAGTTTAATGATCACCAACTTTCATCACGTGGGGTCGCTGTCTGCTTCTTTTCAACCCGCGTCCACCCGGTCTTAGTAGTTAGAAACGCTATTGCTTGAATGGTCAAAGAAAAGTAGTTGTTTTGGGTTTGATAACGGGTCGGGTCGGGCTTTATCCGTTAAGCTTTGATCCGTGTTCGCAGGAATTGAACCATAAATGAGCTGGCTTACGGAATCCAAAAGGATCTGGCTAAAGATATCAACATTCCTTTAGCAAATAAATGTCCACATAATCATGAACAAGTCAACGAGGGAAAGGGATTACCCTAGTTGTTAGTATCAGGTTAACAGACGTGAATCCTTACAGAACAAATTTATTTTAGGATCACACCTCGTCAATTAGTCTATTAAACTTGATGTTCTAATGAATATGCATGGATCTCAAACTTTGGATCAAACGCTGAAGACAAGATAAAAATTAGTTTAAAAATATGAACTCAATATGCAAAACTTAAGATAGATTTTTCGTAGAAAGATAGATATAACTCCCATTGAGAGTAAAGTGAAATACCGAATGAGATGATTTGAGCATGTGTTATGGAGACAACTGAATGCACTAGTTAGTAGAAATAATAAGATTCTAATTACCAAATAGTACGATGATAGAGTTAGGCCTGAAAGAACTTGATTAAAGGCAGCTGTTAACATAAGATTCATATAGCTGATGCCAAAAGTTAAGGATAAAGACTTGTTGTTTTCGGATTTAAACTGCCCCTGGTTCAATAAAGATCAAACTTAACCCTAGCCAATTTATCGGATGATGAGTTTGATCAAGTGCAGAATCTACGATACTCAGATTCAATCAACAACTGCAATCCCACCAAAGTATCCAAGCTTGAAACAGAATTCAGGTCAAGTTTAGATCAGTTATTGAGCAGGTAAATTCAGATCATTTTATTTGTCACAATTGTGGAAACCACATCGCATGGCAATTGGCAAATGTCTACACATGTCCCAATCCTAAGAAAATTGGTTTCAAGATAATGTCATGGGTCAAGGGCTATTATACTGATGGTGTTAGGACTTAGAATAATGTCATGTGGGGATTAACAACTTCCACGCAATTTCTAGGATATCAAATGGGGGGATTATAATACAATTCTTCTTCTGAGAGTGATAGATGAAGGTGATAGCAAAATGAATAGTTCCCTTTAGTTCCCACCAACTCGTCGTCATTGACTATGAAAATTAATTGCGACTTTGTTGCAATATGAATTTAGTCAAGTGCTCTCGCTAGGGTGGTACTGCTGTTACTGTTAACCATGTTTCTATCAGCAGCACAGCTTCTTGAGATAATACTTTTCGTGATTCAAATCTTCTCCTCTGTTTCTATGAACTTATAGTGATACTGTTTTCTGATTAAATTCAAATTTCATATATATATATATATATATATATATATATATATGAGAAAAGTGAATCTAAGGTGACACCCTAGGGCTCCCACCTAAGGACAGCTGGGTCGGCCTAGAATCACATCATTTCCTAAATTTTTTTTGCGATCTGCTCCCGTTAAACTTGATCTACACGTTCTAAACGCAAACATACACCAATTTTGGGGTAATACCCATCTTGTTTTGACCTGTCGTTGGCCGTGAAAAAGTTCTATTTCATGGTCGAACCGTTAAAAATTACAGCGAGTGGATAAGGTCAAATACCGACTGGGTTCAGCCCCAAAATTGGTGGTTTGGTAAGAATATGTAGATGCAAGTTCAACGGAGCGGATCGTAAAAACATTAGGAAATGAGTGATTTAGGCCGCGTCCTTAGGTTGGGAGCCTAGGGTGTCACCCTTAGATTCACTCTATATATATATATATATCATATATATAATATATAATACTATATATATATATATATGAGAAATATGGGGTAGCCTTGGATGAGATTTGACACAATCCCGCTCCACTCATTCAAATGTGGGGACCACAACTTACGTATGGGTGAGGAGTGCCAGAATATGCAACCATTTGAATAAAGTGATGGATTATGCCAACCTCACTTACCAAGCACAACTTTTTTTGTGCTTGTAATCAAACATACCCATCTGCTCTCTCTCTCTCTCTCTCTTACTCATATATATATATATATATAGCTATATATATAATATAATAATATATTATAGTATATATAATATACTATATAATGGATAGCTAGCGTCACCTTAGGAACAATCCCCCCCCCCACCCCTCACCCACACACATCACACACACACACATATATATATATAATATATATAATATATATATATAGAGAAGAGCGAGAGAGAGAGAGAGAGTGAGAGAAATATGGTAAGTCACAAATTTTTGTGCTTGTAGTGAGGTGGCACAATCCCCTCCATTCATTCAAATAGGGGACTCACATTCACATAGGTTGAAAGAGTGGCATGGGGAATGCAACAATTTGAATGAGTGGAGGGGATTATGCCACCTGCACTACAAGCACAATTTTTTGTGCTTGGTACCAAGCATACCCATTTTTCTGTATAAAATATATATATATATATATAGTAATAATTATAGTATATATATATATATATAATTATATATATAGTTATATATATATACTATAATATAATATATATATATATATATAGTATATATCAGAATCACAGTATTTTCCAGTCATTTGCATTATGTAACACCATATGAAGAACTGACGGTTGCATTATGTAACACCATATGAAGAACTGACGGTATATGAGAGTATAGATTTCAATACACTATCATCTTAGCAAGTTATCAACTATATTGCGGTCTTGGGGGTGCTAGTATAGCACAGAGCTGACCAGCTACTGGCTATGACTTCTGTATCTCTCACTACTTAGGCATCTGTTATCCACAAATGAGGAGTTACACTTTGGTGAGATCCTGTTTCTCCATAGATCTATGTGTTAATCACCAGAAATACTAGACAATAATCAGCACTTATTATTTTAGAACATTGACATTATTTCAACAAATCTATCACCACATAATGGGTCTATGGGGACGGTTCGTGGGGCGCGGTTTAAAACCGTTCCCGTTGCTACCTAAGGGAACGGTTCTGTGACAGTTCCAACCGTCACGAATATATCTAAGACAACGCTTTAAACTAAAGCGTTGGGCTTGAATTAGGCTTAGTCTAAAATTTTACAATGGACTAAGGGGACGGTTTATTATGGGGTAAAGGGACGGTTTTATTATGGGCTTTTTAAGTTCACACTCAAACTTTAACAAAAGAGCATTTATTTTGTTTCTCTCGTATATACAGTCGCTCTTCACCCGATCGACTTCTCGCTGAGTTCTAGGGTTTCCTCGCCATCCTGCACTCCCGCGCGTCCGCGAGCCACCTCGACTTCGTTTCCTCCTCTCGTCGACTCCCCCGTACGCCGCTCCTCTCCTTCACTTCCTCTCGTCCGACAAGTTCGTCGATTTAAAGGTCATCCCCTCTCTAGCTTCCTGTGATTTGGGGTACTTATCTCTCTCCTTTTCAATCATCAAACCTAGGGTTTCAAATTTTCATTTTTCTCTATTTAATGAAAATTTTATTTGATTTTACAAATTAGGGCTTTGTTGTCTCGGTTGATCTTTGTTGAAAATTCTGCATCTTTACTGGACAAGGTAAATCCTCAAATTTGAATTAGTATATGTTCTTAATTTTTGTTTAAATTTGAAAGTGAATTAGTATATTTTCTCTATTAGTATATGTTCTTGATTTCTACCTGATTTGTGCTAATTGCTTCTAATTTTGGGGAAATCACTGCCTTTCTTATGGGATTTCGTCGGATTTTTGCTTGATTTGTTGAATTTCGGCAATTACAGGTATAATTTCACCATTTTTAGGTGCTTAATTAAGAACACAAAATCACTTCGCTTCATGGTATGGCATGTTTATAACAGCT